TTCCCTACATGCAATAACATTTTAATGTACCAGTTTGAAAGAAAATACTTGAGTTCCTTGTGAGAAGTATTGATACTGGCACATGGAAGCATCTCTCTCAAACTCATTTTATGAAGTTAGAAGAACCCTGATACCAAAACTGGGCAAAGACCACACAAGCATAGAGAACTACAGACAGCTAACCCTCATGAACATAGATGCAAAAATCCTCCACAAAATCCTGGCCAATAGAATCCAACAGCATATCAAAATTATAATAATAATAATACTTCATAACCAAGTGGGATTAATACCAGGGATGCAGGGTTGTAATCCACTACATCAACAAGAAAAGGAAAAGAACCATATGATCATATCAATTGATGCAGAAAACTTTTGATAACATCTAACACCCAGTCCTAATAAAAACTCTCAGTGAGATATGATTAGAGGAGAAAATCCTCAATACAGTAAAAGCCAAATACCAAAACCTATAGCTAATATAGCACTCAAATGAGAAAAGCTGAAAACCTTTCCACTAAGCAAGGGAATGTGGCAAGGATGTCTCTTATCTCCACTTCCATTCAACATTGTACTGGAATTCCTCATCAATGTCATAAAACAACAGCAAGGTATCAAGGGTCTACAACTGAGTAAAGAAGTGAAACTTTCATTATTTTCAGACCATATGATCTTATATATTGAGAATCATAAGGGGTACAAAATTGGATTGCTGGAAACAATAGAGGAGTTTAGTAGAGTATCAGGATACAAGATTAACAAGCAGAAATCAATTGGATTCCTGAAAACCAATGATGGGAATACGGAAAAAAAGCTATCAAGGAATCAGTAACATTTATAATAGCTACGCAAAAAATTGAAGTAACTAGGAATAAAACATAACCAAGAGGCATAAAAGTTTTGTTTAGAAAGAGTGAAGAATATAACAGGCCATTACTACAAGAGACCAAAAGGAATCTACCCAAATGTGAGAATATTCCATGTTTGTGGATCAGAAGACTCAATATAGTGAAAATGTTGATGCTACCTAAGACAATATACAATTAAACGCAAGGGCATAATGTGTGGTTTAAAATCAGGAAAGGTGCACCGCAGGGATTTATCTTCTCATCATACTTATTCAAGTTGTATGCTGAACAAATAATCAGAGAAGTTAATTATATGAAGATCAATGGGACATCAGTTCTGGCAGAACTTTTATTAGGAACCTGCAAAATACAGATGATACAACCTTGCTAGTTGAAAATGAAGAAAACTAGAAAGTCTTGTTGATGAAGATAAAGGATTGCAACCCTCAGGATGGATTACAACTGAATGTAAATAAAACCCCAATCCTTCCAACTGGACCAGTAAGTAGCACCACGATAAATGGAGAAAAAGTTGAAGTTATCAAGGATTTGTCTTGCTTAGAATATCAAGCAATGTTCATGTAAACAGTACTGAAGAAAGAGATGAAACGATGTCTTTGCATCTGATAAATTTGCTGCAGAACACCTCTTAAAAGTGTTTGTTAGCCAGGATGTGACTTTGTTTTTGTTGTTGTGTGCCATTGTGTTTGTTCTGACCCATAGCAACCCTCGGCACAACAGACCTAAACACTGTCCGATACTACACCCATCCTCACAGGTGTTCCTGTGCTTGAGCTCATTGTTGCAGCCACTGTGTCAAACCATCTTGAGGGCTTTCCTCTTTTTTGTTTTTTGCTGTCCCTGCACTTTACCAAGCATGATGTTCCTCTCCAAGAACTGACTCTTCTGACATGTCCAAAGTATGTAAGACACGTCTTTCCATCATTGACTTTAAGGAACACTCTAGCTAAAGTCCTTCCATGGCAGTGTTGTTTGTCCTTTTAGAAGTCCATGGTACTTTCAATATTCTTCTCCAGCACCGTCATTCAAATGCATTGATTCTTCTCTGGTCATCTTTATTCAATGTCCAACTTGCACATGCATATGAGGCAATGGAAACCATCATGGTTTGGGCCAAGTACAGCTTAGCCTTCCAAGGAACATCCTTCTTTTTCTCTAAAGAGGTCTTATATAGCAGGTTTATCTAATGCAACTCATCGTCTGATCTCCTGACTGGTTCTTCCATGAGTATTGATTTTGGATCCAATAAATATGCAATCTTTGACAATTTCAACCATTTCTCCATTTATCATGATGCTACCTATTGGTCCAGTTGTGAGGAATTTAGTCTTCTTTACATTGAGTTTTAATCCATAATGAAGGCAGCAGCACTTGGTGTTCATCAGCAAGTGCTTCCTTCTCACTTTCAGCAAGCAAGGCTGTGGCATCTACATACTATAGATAAACAGGCCTTCCCTGCAATCATGATGTCGCATGCTTCTTTATATAAGCCAGCCTCTTCAGTTATTTGTTCAGCATACAGATTAAATAAGTATGGTGAGAGAACACAACCCTGATACACAGCTTTCCTGATTTTAAACCATGCAGTACTCCCGTTTTCCATTCCCACAACTGCCCCCTTGATCCATGTACAAGTTCTTCGGGACCACTATCAAGTATTATGGATTTCCCATTATTCTCTAGGTCATCCATAGCTTATAATGGTCCACACAGTTGAATGGCTTGACAAAGTCAATAAAAGATAAGTAAACATTGTTCCAGCATTTTTGCTATCAGCCAAGATTCATCTGCCATCAGAAATGATATCACA